TATATATATATATATCTTTAGGTATAGACTATAATTTGTTGATGGCCTAGTTAATTTAAGTATAAGGTTTGCTCCATGCTTTCTCTAGTATTGCGTTTTCTGTGTTTTAGGGTTTTACTTATTTCAATTTGTCTTTTATAACTCGGCATAGGCGTGGTTGGTATGTAGTCTAGATACTATATACTATATAGTTAGTTGCATTATATCGTCGTCTATATAGATACATTTATTATGTTTCATATGGTTTGCTTTTGTTGTTGTTGGTGTTGTTGTAGTTGTTGTTGTTGTTGTTGTTGTAAGTCACAATATGGTTGGCTAATTTGTAGTTTATGGTATCAATTATCATGTATGTAGACTTTAATTATGTTTATATTAGCTTTATAACTGTTTAAATGTTGATTCGTGCCAGTTAAGTGGTTTTTCGATTACCTAACCCACAAATGAATGAAACAAATACAACAATAATTTGTATAATTTGCGTGCGGCTTTCGATAAGTATATATCATGTACTATATATATATCTGTATATATGTATGTGTATATGTATATATACTGCCTGACATTAGGCCCAAACATTTTGGCTGCCATATAATTTAGTTTGTTTTTCAAATGTTGTTCTGCTCGAGTGCTACTTACATATCTTCTATCTGTATACATATATATATGTATCTGTATCTGCATCTGCATTTCTATCTGTATCTGCATATTAGTATACCCCAACTGCACTTAGGCAGTGCTAAGCGTTAATGCTTTTTAATTGTTTTTTTTTGTTTGTTTTGTTTTTTACTAACTACTTTTACACGTTGTTTTTTTTTTAAATTTTTTTTGTATGTATTTGCTTGTTGTCAAGTGTAAAGTTTGTAGTTTAAGTTTTATTCGTAGGCCTTTTCGAAAGCGTGTTGGCCTTCCCTCTCCCTCTCTCTCTCTCTCTCTCTCTCTCGCGCGCTCTCTCTCTTTCCGTCTTGTGAGACAGCTTAAGTGATTTGACTTTGGCTGAGCTGAGCTGAGCTGCCAAGTATAAATAATAGTGTTGTTAATTTTTTGTCATGTTTTTTCTCAACTTTTGGGCCAGCCAAAAGTGCAGCTCTACATAATATATATTTTTTAATATTTTCAGGGTTTTTTTAGTTCAAGCTAAATGTCGCGATGTGAGGTTAATTGGCCATTTCGAAATTCAATTAAATCTTGCATTGGGTGGCTCCATTTCTCAAACAGTTTTGTCATTGGCTCTGAGTCATATTCGAAAACAATACAAATTTCTATTTTATACAATTTTTTGGGCTTGGCTTGAATAAATTTCAAATGTGTCCCCATCTTAATTTGGCGCGTTCGTATTAGTCGCTATTTTAATTAATAATACATTTTTCATAATTTATTTAAAACCGTTTTAAGCTGCGCTACGCATTTCTCTTAGCCCAGTCGCGCATACAAATTATGTTAATTAGTTACAGCGACTAACGATAAATTGTATTCTCTTCGTTATGTGCTTTGTTTAACAATTTAATTAAAGCTTATTAAAACTGTCGCTTGCTGATTATTAAAAAAAAAATAAGTAGCAAAGAAGAACAAATTCATTGCATTTGGCATAAATACATATTTAATTGTCTATGCGGTACTTAATTTACGATTTTAATTAATACTGAAACGCACAGAATTCAAAGGCAATTACAAAAAATTATATATATACACATATACATATACACACACATATATTTATACATATATAAATGATTACAAACTTCGGCGAAACGCATAGAAAATGAATGTTTTAAACATTTAAATGTGTTTCGGAGCGGGCAAATGTTTTAATTAAGTCGCGAATTATAAAGCGCTCGTATTAGCCTGACCCCAAAAGCAGCCACTTGCAAAAGTGCTGCTCCAAAAACAGAAAGAAAAAAAGACGGAAAATGAATGAATGAGTGAGCAAAACAAAAACAAAAACAAACGTAAACTGGTTGCCCAGGCGGCGTCTGGGCGTGGGTCTCGTCGCACTCGCCTCGCAGTCTATGTCTGTCCTTGTCGCTCTGCTCTGCCGTGCTCGTAAGCATGGGCTTTATGACCAGCCTCAATGCAAGGCGTAACTGTAATGACCATGCTAGCCCGCCCTCGCCCTCGCCCTCGCCACCTGCCGCACCCACAGACACACTCACACACACAAACACACGCACACGCACACCGACAGTCATCGTTTGTTAGACAGCTTCCGCTGTCGGCGTCGACGTCGCCGTTGTCATTGTCGCATTTCTGTCTTTGCTTTTCATTTTGCGCTCTACTTCAGTTTTTATCGCATTTCGTTTTTTTTTTTTGTGACTTGATATTTGTTTCTGGACTTTGTTTAATGCGCTTTGCTTCGTTCATTTAAAACAATTTTCGTGCGTTTTTTCTGTTTGCATTTTCAGCTTAAATTTAAAAATAACTAATCATCACTGTGTATGTATGCGTGCGTGTGTGTGTGTGTGTGTGTGTGCTTAATTTGATTTTATGAGCGAGCTTTGGGTGCCGTTTTATTTTATTTATTTGCATGCTTTTGTTTTGTTTCAATTCTTATGCGTATTTCGCTGGCCCATTATTGAGTTTATTTATCTCTGCTGATGACTTTTAAATGGCACCTTTAGGGAGGGGGAGGGGGGATATGCCGTCATAAATTCAAAATCCAAAGGCCAAGCAAACGCGTACAAAAACTTATATGCATGTAAATAAAGAAAACAAAATGAAAAGCCCAATATATTGTTCTGCATACGAACTATAGTTCCACCTACTACAGATTAATTAGTTTTTAACCCCCCCTCACCACGTCCGCACCGACAAACACACACACACACAAAAACCCTTTGGCAACGCAGACACTTGAGCACTGAGCTCATTTCTATTTAAAATAAATATATAAATAAAATAAAATAAACGAACACTTGAGTTTTCAAGTACAGTACTTGAAGAACAGGCCCATTATCTCTGAAGATTTGCCTTAAAAATACAATCAACAATTCTCTCCATAAAGTGCAGCTTTTGTTTCATTCCAATTTAGCTAAAGCTCAAGCACACCCGGGCACACACTCACACGCACGCACACATACACAAAGTATCATGCATGCATGCATGCATAGAATATGACGACAATGAACTCGCATTGAACGGGAATGAATGGAAGGGGGATATGGACAGGCCCAAACAACAACAGTGGGCAACAGCTGATTTTAGCGTGCTTTCGATTGATTACAAACAAAACACTTGGGTCCGAGTCGCATTTATTTATTTTAGCCCTGAACGATTGTAGTAAATTTTAATTACCGCCAATTGGCATATTGCAAGGGAATTCTAATCTATGGCGGCCACTTTATTATATGTATAAATAAATGAATAGATGGCAATCATTTCTCAGACCTAAATCAGCATACAAAACGAACGTTTTTCACCCCGTCTCAATTCAGCTCCGATTGTCTTTGAACGCGTGTGCCGTGTTTTTTTTTCTTCTTTTTAGTATAAACAAGATTTGTTGACGTTGCTTTCTACATAGTATAACATAAATATACTAAGATAAGTCCGCATGTGGTCTACATAGGCAGTCGCGGCCAGTTCCTGTCATGGTTTTGTTGTCTTGTCGTGAGTCTTGACATGGCTTGGACTCGTTTGGATTTAGGGCAGACCAAAGTGAATCATGTGAATGGATTCGCTTTAAACGAGTCACAAATCAAATGGTTTAACCAGTCCACTTTTGGTCAATGGGAAACGGATGTCGTTTTCTACTTAACGCCTCTTTTTTTGTTTGTTGCTTTTTTTGAAATGAAACATTTTGTTTAATTAAGCCGACGGCTGCTTTATTCCGGTTAAACGTTGCGTAGCATTTGGAAATGCATTAAAAACTTGAAGAAATGACCACCCTTATGTTTTTTCCCAACCGGATTTCCTATGAAATTTTAATTTGTAAGCAGGAAATTGGCGAAATACGAAATACGTTTATATTTAGTTAGGAAATGTGTCAAGTTATCAGCTATATGAAATTGAGATTTGAAATTATTTCAATTTAATTAAATGATATGATTTCTAACTTTATCATATGCCCTGCACACCCTGTAATCTCCGACAACATAGAGAGCCCATTATGTGGGCTGTTACTCATTATTAAAGACTCTGACTGCGACCTCCCTACTTCAACCACTGTGCATGCGGGGCAAAGCCAAAGAGTCTTCCATCAATGACAACAATCAATCAAAACGAATGTCGTTGCGGGGGGTAGCGGGGGGTAGCTACGACGCGAAGCTGACACCAAAACCGAGGCAAAGCACGAGGCGAGCAAGAAATCAAATTAAAGCAGCTCACACAGTGACAACAAAAAGTAAAACAAAATAATGTGTAGAAAGAGAGCCGACAAACTGTAAAATAATCCAACAAAGTTCCGACGGCAAAAAACAGTTGCTGCGCTCTCTTACGGTATTTACATCAATTGAACTGCAGTGTGTTCACCCTTTCTCTATCTCTCTCTCTCTCTCTCTAGCTCTCCTTATCTATTTGTCTGTGTCTCTCTGCCTGCCTTCCTTTCGTCATTGAAAACACAATTTGCTACATTTTCGATTACTTTTTTCGCATATTTCGCTTCAAATTACTTCGCATAATTTGGAATATATTTTATTTGCATTTAAATGTATGTTGGGGTGTGTGTGTGTGTGTGTGTTCTTCTGCGTCTACCTGTTTTCAAATATAATAATTTTGTTCGTAACAATTCTGTCCTTTAAGAGATTTTGTATATTTTCTTCATTTTCGTTTAGTGAATAGCAATAGTAATTAAATAAGCATATGTTTAGTTTTTAGCATTTCATTTACTTGTTATTATTGTTGTTGTTTTTGTTGTTTTTGTTGTTGGTTTACACGCATTGTGTTTGTTTTGTTTTGTTGGTTTCCTTGTTGTTTAATTTAAATTAAATTAATTACTAAAATTATTTTATAACAAATATCACTACAATAGTTTGCATTTTTTTTGTTTGTTTTTTCTTTTTTGTTTTGTTGGTTGTTTGTTTATCCAATTACTACAAATTACTTTTACTTTTTATAAAAAAAAAAAACAAGTAAATTTCAATTATTTTTCTCTTTTGGGCTTTTTGGCAACAATCTTTCGCAGCTAATTTAAGTATAAATCAATAATTAAATATTTACCGGCTTTCCAATTGCCTGGGCATTTAAACAAAACACTTTCTTTTCTGACAATAAAAACAGATGATGAACTTTAAAACTGAATTGTTTTTACAAAAATCGTTTTTTTTAGCATATCACAATTGAAATTTTACATGTTGCTTTCAACTCTCAAGCGGGGCAGTCAAAAGCCGCCGCTTCCTTCGAAGAGCTCACGCACACTGCACAAAACAGAGCTTTTTTTTGGGCATCTAGCGTGCTTTCATAACGGCACATAGCACACATTCATACATGTGCGCACATGCATTAGCTTCGACGCCTTTTTTGCAATCTCTCTTTTATTGCCAATACCGTTGTTTCGTTTACATGTTTAACACCAGGCACATTGCAAGCCCTACAGTAAAACAGGGTACAGAAAATCAAAAAGGAATAACAGAACATTTAAAAAATTTGTTAACTAAAACAGAAAGCGATTTGCAGTTATTTTTCTTTCTCCTTTCTTCGTCGTTGACGTTTACTTTGTAAGCGTCTGTCTCAGTTGTTGATGTTGTTGTTGTTGTTGCTGCTGCCTTTGCTGTTATTGTTGTTGTTGGATCACACGTTGTAGCAGGAGATTTGCTGCAGTTGCTGGAATGTTGGCGCTGCCGTCGCCGACGTCGCTGCCGTGCCAAATTGCACAAACGAAGCTGGCCCCAAATTGGCGCCGGCCGCTGCCGCTGCGAGGGAGGCGGCCGCTGCCGCTGCTGCGTAGGGATGCATGCGATGCTGCGTGCGCAGATATTGGCGATATTTGCCGCTCAGCTTGTCAGTGGACGCTGTAGGCGGCAGCCGGTGCATGGGCGTGGCCTCAGGACCGGCCTGATAATTGCTAGGAACAGTTGCCATCGGGGAACGGTCGATGAGCAGCGCAGTTGCCGCCGCCGCCGCCGCATCCCATGGTGCGACAGGAGGAGGCAGGCAGTGCTGCTGCTGCTGCTGATGCTGATGTTTGGCAGCGCTGCTGACGTAACTGCTGCTGCCCGAAATCAATGCATCGCGTTTGCCAGCGGCATTAGCAGAGGCAGAGGCGACGGTGGCTGCGCTGCTGCTTTTTGCAGAATAGAGGGACGCCGGGTGCAGCTGTTGGTGTGTGTGTGCATGTGAGTGGGTGTGTGGGTGTGAGTGAGTGTGTGGGTGTGCGTGTGAATGCTGTTGTTGTTGTTGCTGCTGCTGCTGCTGTTGGTGTGGCGTCAGCGCAGCGGCCAACTGTTCCCACTGACCCGATGCCGACGTCGCTGCTGCCGCGGCGACTGCTGCGACTGAGTTGGCTGCTGCGTGGCTTTGGCTTTGGCTTTGACGACTTTGGTTGCGATGTTGTTGTTGTTGTTGCCGCAGCTGCTGCTGCTGCTGCTGCACTGGATACAGCGCCTGCTGCGACATTTGTGACATTTGTTGCTGTTGCTGCCGCAGCTGCTGCTGATACGCTGCCTGCCGCTGCTGCTGCTGTTGTTGTTGTTGTTGCTGCTGTTGTTGTTGCTGCTGTTGTTGCAGTTGGGTTTTGCGACGAGCTGCGCTGCTGCTGCTAGGCGCTGCTGCAACTGTTGCCGCGCCGCTGCCCAATGCCGCTGCGCTGCTAACGGCGCTGCTGGCCGCGCTGCGTGCGCTCGCCGTCGCAGTCGCCTGCATGTTGTTCACGAAGGGGCTGCGCCGCTGCGACTCCATTTTGCGGAAATAGCAGGGATGGATCATCAGCAGCGGCTCGACGCGCTGCCCGGCGGGCGGCTTTGGCTGGTTTGGCAGCTCGTACTCGACGCTGCAGTCGACGTGCAGTGGAATGCTGTAGTCCTTGTTGCTGCTGACGGCGCTGCTGCTGCCGCCGCCGCCACCGCTGCTGTTGTTGTTGCTGCTGGCGCTGCTGCCGGCATTGCCGCTGGCAGCTGTTGCTGTGCTGGCGCTGCCGCCGCCGCTGCTGCTGTGTTGGCGTTGGCTGGCGGCAGTGGCAACCTGCGTCGCAGCTGCATGGCGTGTGTTGTTGTTGTTGCTGGCGGGTGGTTGCTGCTGCTGATGGCGTTGCTGCTGCAGCAATTGTTGCTGATGAGCTGCAACTGCAGCATGATACATGTGCTGCTGTTGCTGCTGCTGCTGCTGCTGTTGTTGTTGATGATGCTGCTGCTGCTGTTGTTGCTGCAGCTGTTGTTGCTGCTGCTGCTGCAGAGCGGCTGACATGCTATGCGAGAGCGAGAGAGACGACATGGAGGACATGTCATAATTAGCATAACACGCAGCCATCGTCATTTTTTAGATGTTGTTGTTGTTGCTGTTGCACACACAAGGTTTAAAGCTTTATTTGTTGCTTAATCTTTTCTTAATTTTTCAGCATTTCATTTTTGTTTTGTTTTAGAGCTTTTTCACTGCACTTTGACTTTGACTTTGACAAATTTTATTGGCACTGGTAATCCAAAAAGTGATAGACAGCGTTTAACTGTAGTTAAAGCTGCTGTTAATCCGTTTGAGAGTGTGTGTGTGTGTGTGTGTGTGTATAAGAGGAACCTTAATCCATATGTTGTTTCTGCTTGCTTTCTTTTGGAATTTGCTTTCGGTTTCGTTTTGTTGCTTTGTCGCACCCGTAATTCAATTGTTTTACATTTATTGTATTGGTTAATCAGTCTTGGTTTTTGTTTTAACTATTTTAGCTGCAAATTGAGTTTTTATTTTGCTTGTTTTATGTTATTGGATCAGTCTTTATAAATGTTTATGCAAATACACGCGTGTGGTTTACAGTTTTTTATACGCTATCGACAGGCAAATAGATTTGCTCGAGCACGTCCGTTCACGTTGAGCAGCGCAAGCGAAATGAAACGGACTCTTAACTGTTGTCAATTATTTTGTAATTTTTGTTCAGCGAGCAGAGAGAGAGAGAGCGAGTGAGAGCGTAGCGCTGAATCATCAGAGTTTTGCTGAATTGCGACTGAGAGCGAACACTAACAGCTGTTTCGCGACGCTAACGTCAATGTTAGATGTTTGTTGTTGTTTTAGCTTGGTTATAAATTTTTCACGTTGTATACACATATACTCAACACATGTAGCTTTACTGTCACTTTAAAGGATTCTTTTCATATCGTTATTGTTTTTTAACTGCTGCTATTTACATTATTTCAATGCCAATAGTTATACTGTTAAATGCTTGCTATTTTTCCGAGTTACGTTTACAAAGTCGTCTGCACGCATCAAGCTCTCTCAAGCGACTGGCTCTCGCAGTGTGGCCCTTTTTGCTGGCCAGCGTTCTACCTGCTGTTTTATTAGAGCTGCCGCACAGCTGATTGCCGACTGGGCCGTGACGTCGCCGCGTATTCAGCGCACACTGGCACACACACACACACGTTGAATTGTGTCGTTGCTGCAAACGCTTAAGCCAATTGCATTCAGTGGCTGTAACTAAAACACATGCCGCATCACATGTTTGCTCTCTCATTCTGTCTCTCTTGTGCGGTCTGCGTTCGTGTATGTGTTGTGTATGTACAAAAGTGTTGGTGTCGCTTACAAATTCAGCTATATAATAGCCACGGCGGCCATCTTTACAACTGCTTTCGTGTTGTGCGAGAGAGCGACGTCGCTGCCGCGCTGCTGCTGCCTTTTTATTTTGTAATCATATTTCTGCTGCCGTTCTCGCTCTTTTAAGCGTGAGTTTTAAGTGTTGCCCTGCTTTAATTTTTATGATTTCTTTATGGGCTCTGCCTCTGCGCAGCTTCAGTTTTATGCGCTCCTTTGATCATTCATTTGCCATCAAACTCTTGTTGGCTGCCTTTTAATAGCCCTGGCGACTTGAAAATGCAGTCGCATTCATGCATGTATGTACATAATTATAAAAATCTATCGCGTCAAGAGAATTCAGTATGCACATATGTATGTACATATTCCCTTTTCTCCATTTATATCACTCAATTCTTTTCAGCTAAAGCCTTGGCTTTACTATTTTACTGCAATTTTCTGTCATCTCTTACGTCTTTCTTTCTGCTCTCTTGTTTTATATTATGTACAAAGGTGCGGCACTAAAATAAAATGCCCAAAAAAGAATCAACACTCACAACGACAGCTGCCCTGTTACAAAAGCAAAAAAAAACAACAACAACAACAACTACATAAAATAAAATTCAAACTAAGCCACACGGAAACTGCGCAATGAGCACAAGATTTTCAGTGCAAAAGCTGCCAGCAAAAGAGATTACACCCCTTCTCCTTCTAACACACACAGAAAAACGAACAAGGCATAAGAAGCGACAACGGCAGAACGGCAACAACAGTAACGAGCCAGCATTAAACTTAAATGTTGCAGACATTTCTGCACTAAAAACTAAGCAATTTAAGTCAGCGCCTTCCGTTGCCCCCCTCCCTTTGACCAACGTCTTCATCAGCATCATCGACAACAACTACAATAACAGCTTTGTCGTCGTCGTCTGCAAGCACACATACGACACACATACTAGCTGGTACACACATACACAGTAGACGATTACACACATTGTAATAAATAAGGAAGGTCGTTGCCATAGCAGCAGCCGCCGTTGGCGTCGTTGTATTTTTTTTTTTTTTTATTATTTCTTCCACCTTTTGTTGTTGTGAGTGTCGCTGCTGAGCGTGAGAATTCAGCACTTGAAGCTTAGTGCGCTCTCGTTCGTTATGTGTGTGTCTCTTTCTCTCTCTCTGTTGTGTGCTCATTCAGCGCTGTTGATAACAAATCAGCTGTTTCGTGAAATACGCATACAAGCACACAAGTCGGCTATAATTTACGAGCGCCCGAGTACTATACAAAAATGGGGAGGTGTGTCAGTGTCCGTGTATCGATGCTGTTGTGTGAGTGTGTGTGACTGTCTGGATATGTGTATGTGTGTGAAGCCTTGTGAATTTGGCGTGCCCATTATAGTTGTCATTGTTGTTGTTGTTGAAGCATATGTTTTGTTTGCGTCGTTGTTGTTGTTGTTGCTGTTGCTGTTGCTTTTGTTGTTGCTGTTGCTGTTGTTTGCTGACTGCCTGCTTGCGTGCTCAACGCCGAGTCGGCCGCATTACAGTTGATTATGGGCAGGTAAAGCGGAGGGGGTTCCAATTTTAAATTACCAAACTGCTCAAATTAAAGAAAATAGGTACGAGAAGACCGCAAGGTATGGCAAAGAGAAACAGGAAATTGCCCAAGAAAATAAGCTATGGGCCCATTGAATCTACGGTAATTAGCTTAGGCGCTGCAACAGAATGGATGTATGTATGTACATGCATTTCTCTTTTCAGATGCTCTTAAGGGCATCGAGTCAATTTTTTATTTCCGTTATATATTTTGTATGTATGTTTAACAAAATAACAAAAGAAACCCAAAACAGCTCTTGTCTGGACTTACCCTCTCTTAAAACAGCCGCTCGCTCATTAGATCCAGCCCACATTTTCAGATTTCCTGTTGTCGTTCTAATCGCGCTTTGTCATCGCCTTGATAAAGAGCTAGTTCGTCATCTCATATCCATAACTTGGCTGGCCGTTCTACTTGGCAATTCCTCGCAGCGCATCCTTAGATCAGCCCGTCCGAAACCTGTTTGCATTATTAAGTAACCGCTCAGCTCAGCTCGGCTCAGCTCGGCTCATTCGCGTTGAAAGAAGCAACCGGCTCGATCCATGGCTTCCTGCAATGCGCATTCTAAAGAAGAATCAGACAAAAAACGAAAAAAAAAGAAGAGAAGAAAAAAAATGCATGAAACTTTCGTTTTTTATTTTCACAAGCCACGACATAGTCTTGTCGTTGTTGTAGTTGTTGTTGTTGTTGTTGTTGCTGTGTTTTTCTTGTTCTCTGTGGCGGTCGCTGTTGCTATCTCTGTCTCGCCGTCGCCGTCTGTTTGCCTGGGCCCCGCTTGTTAATTCGAAATAAAAACAGGAAAATTTACTTTACAATCTGTGCTAAAATCGTAAATTTTTAGCTGGCACCGGCTTCGGCTGCGGCAACCGGGCACTCAGGGGAGCGGCTCAGACCCCGCTGCGTCCCGCCCGCCCCGGGGCAGGTAAGCTAATCCGCTTGCCATGGTCATGCCGATGACTCGCCTATTTGTTCTCGTCTCGGCTTAACTTGTTTTGTTTGCCGTTCCACGTATTCTGGGCTGAGGCTTCGGCTTGGGCTCGGGCTCTCATGCCTAGGCTGTTATCTTTTCTTATTTAATTTTTTGGCTGCCATTGCGCCTTCTAATCTTTCCAGCAATATCGTCACGAGTCTGCAAAACGCGCTCTTTCATTCCAGAGCCGCTCTCTTCAATGTTTTTTTTTTTTTGGCGCTCATCTGTGTCCCTTTTCAACTGCGAGCTTTCAGTGATTATGTTTTGCTCGTCCTCTTTGTGCGTTCATTCCATGCTCTTGCAGAGGCTGAGACGCTTAAACCGTTGATTGATGCGTTTCCCATTCGGAATTTATGCCATGGACTATTTGGGCGAGCGAGCGCTAAGCAATTCATTTTTCAAGGTGCACACACACACACACACTCATCCCCTCCAGCTGCGCAATCAGCAGCCGAGATCGAAGCGTGCGATACTCAGGAAACAACAACAATCATCTTGAGGAGCTGGAAAGCGAACCGCTCGCACTCTTCAGTTGGAGATCGCGTTCGTCTCGGACACGACGTCGAATGCATCTAAATTGCTAAATACCTTTTTATGGTTAGTGCTGTGAGTTGCCCGCTCCTTCCAGATGCCCCCGCTTCCAGTTGCCAGTTGCCAGTTGCCTGCATCAATTTAACATTTTAAAAATGTATCTTTGTATCTTGGTGTGGGCTTCGCAGAAGTTGCCTGCCTATATAATGTATTGTATATACTTTTGCAACAGTCGGCAGCTCCTTACTGATTCATCATGGCCATTTTTGTGGACTGCTGATTGCTGGGCACACATTGGCATCTTTTTAATAGCCCCCACAGGCCCATCGGGAATTATTCATTCTCATTGTATTCCGCATTCGCAGTCGCAATCGCCCGATCGAGTTATAAACAATTTCTGTTATTTTTGTGCGCTTTTTTGTCCCTCCCTCTCTCTCTCTTTTGTTTTGGACTTTAAATTATGCAACTAATTGTCAGGCATGCGAGCTATTTGGCTTCCAAAAACAAGTCCCATTCCCCCCTCCCCCGCCGCTCTTCCACTACCGTGACAGCTGTCAAATGCATAATTAAACTGACCTTCGAGGGACCAATCAAAAAGCGAGGACCTCGAGACAGGGTCTTCAGCAATTGCAGTTATAATAGTGCCATATAAAAAACTGCCTGAATATTTGACCGTGTGGTTGGCTCTGTTTTTTCTCTTCCAGTCTCATTTTTATTGCAAATGCTATTAAACGAATTCCG